CAGCTGATTGGCTCCAAATTGTTGTGTCGCCGTTCAGAAACTTTGAACTCATTTTTTTTTTATTTATTTAGTTAGTTAGTTTTATTTATTTATTTTGGTTTTTTGAGACAGGATCTCACTATGTAGTTGAGACTGACCTGGAACTCACTATGTAGCCCAGGCTGGTCTCAACTCACAGAGATACTCCTGTCTCAGCCTCCTGAGTGCTGGGATTACAGGTGTGCGCCACCATGCCCCGGCTAGAACTGATTTTAAACCAGACTTGTTGATCTTGTCATCAGAATATGACCCCCAGGGCTAGGTGAGGCTTCTGGGCTGGAGGCCTTGAGGCTTGTTGGTTGATGACTGTCTCTCTATACCCCACTCCTGCCAGGCCTTGGAGACCCGGGCCAGCCCTGGCCATACCCCGGGCTGTGTCACCTTTGTCCTGAATGACCACAGCATGGCGTTCACTGGAGATGCCCTGCTGATCCGAGGGTGTGGGCGAACGGACTTCCAGCAAGGTGACTCCCACCCTTATCCAGCCCAAGGCCGCAGTGCGTGCCAGGGCTCTCAGTGTCGGTGACCAGGATGAATGAGTGGAGTTTAGGTTTTCGGGGGGTCAGTAGTAGATTCAAGGAGTGGAGCTCCTGCAGTACAGGAGGAATCTGATACATGTGGCCAGACTTAGAGAATGGTAACATTCGCAGTACATTAGTTATCTACGGCTGTGTAACAACCCCAGAACCGAGTGGCGTAAGTCCTGACTTAGGCTTACTGTCTCACACTGTTTTTGAGGGCTGGGAATCTGGAAGCAGCTTAGGTGGTGGCTCTGCCCACTTTGTTTGCCAAGGACCTTCTTGGCCTCCCTGGGGTGGGGGCTCCTTCTCATGCTTCCGGCCCTCAGCCCAACTTCCCGAGTGCCTCATTATACTGTGGACCTTTTACCAATTCCTCGGTCCTGCACACATGCTGTTCCTCCTGCCTAGAGTGCTCTTCCCTTTGCCTAGACAAATGGGGATTGGCAGAGGAGTTCAGCTGTAGGGATTTCCTCCTCCTATTCTTTAACTGGGGAAAGGAGTTAGGGGGCTTCTCCTGTCCTGTGACGCACTAACCCCTGAGCTTTCCTTCCCCAGGCTGTGCTAAGACCTTGTACCACTCAGTCCACAAAAACATCTTCACGCTTCCAGGGGAGTGTCTGGTCTACCCGGCTCATGATTACCATGGTGAGGCCTTGCCAAAGGAGGTGTGGGGCTTCCATTGCTTGGGAGAGGGGCTAGCGAACTCCTATAATACTCATAGGGTGTGGAGACTACAAGTCCCAGAAATTCCTCTGGCCAACAAGGTTCAGCGTGAGGGTGTACAGCACGTAATAGAAACTACACAACTCCCAGTGTTCCCTGGGGCCTGGGTTTTCCCAGGCTTCCTTAGGGAACTGCGTTTGCCATAGTGTCCGTCAAGAAGTGAAAAAGATTTAGGAACATTCTGGGAAGAGCCTGGTAGATCCAGACCAGGGAGTTGCCCCACGGATGTCATTTTAAGAGACTTTCCTTCCCCTCCCTTGGCTACTAGGGCTTACAGTGTCCACTGTGGAGGAGGAGAGGACTTTGAACCCTCGGCTCACCCTCAGCTGTGAGGAATTTGTCAAGTTGATGGACAACCTGAACTTGCCCAAACCTGAGCAGATAGGTAAGTACCTGGGGAGCACAAGTCCCGGTCTCAGAGAAGACGGATGAGCCTGGGCCCCTGGGTCCGAGGGAGGAGGCTGGGCCTGGACCCCTGGGTCTGGGGGAGGAGGCTGGGCCTGAGGGCAGATGGGGCCAGAACTATAATTCTACAGAAAAGAGCTTCTCTTGATCCTGGGTCTTCACTGGGGCAGGGATGTGCCAGGCCCTTAGTTCTATCCATAGTTTTTCCTTTCAGATGTTGCTGTTCCAGCCAACTTGCGCTGTGGAGTGTAGACCCCGCCTTCCTGAGCTGTTCTGTCAGGTCCTCCTTCTGGATGTCAAGAATGTACTGATGGGCTGGGGATTTAGCTCAGTGGTTCCACTGCCTGCCTCGCAAGCACAAGGACCTGAGTTCAATACCCAGTACCAAAAAAAAAAAAAGAATATACTGGTGGGGCCAGGGAAAGCTGTCATCTTTGCGTCTCTCTCCTTTCCCTACCCCTATCCCTCACCAGCTCTTCGAGCTTCTTAAATAAAACTTTTTTTTTTTTTTTTTTTTTTGGTCTGTGAATCTGACTTCTATTTTCCGGAGGGAAGCTGGGGTGCCAGGGAGGATGAGGACCCAGGGGGCTGACGTGGCTGGGATCCTAATTCACAAGACGGGAGCAACCACAGATTTCGGGGCAAGTGTTCTTATGACCCCAGCTAGAACCCAGTCTTTCCTTTGAACTGCTTCCCCCTTGGAGCCCCAGAGTAAGTTACTTGCCCTCCCTGGTCCTCAGTTTCCTGATCTGTAAAATGGGAGTAATAATAATAGAAGTGCCAGGAAGATCTGATAAGTCCTTGAATGTGCATGCTTGGCAGCTGCGATGCTGATTCTATCAGAGCTCCTATGATTGCTATCATCCAGAACATCTCTCAGGCACTTCCTGGCGCGTTGTGACACTTTGTCTACTGGTTAATCACATGAATTTTTGTTTTGTTTTGGTACTGGGGAGTGAACTGAGGACCTGCGCCTGTGAGGCAGGCGGCGGCACCACTGAGCTAAATTCCTGGCCCTATCATATGGATTTTGAGAGAAAGAAGTTGGTGTTCCATTTATAAAATGTAGATCTGGGGTACACGTGTACCTCCAGCCTCAGTCTCCCCAAGTATAAGGTGGACAACGGTAATTACTTTTGGGTGGTCTGCTGTGAGATGAGTGTTTAGCACGGAGGTGGAACCGAGGGCAGCTCTGCCACTGAACTGCAACCCCATCCTTTTCTTAAGATTTTATTTTGAGACAGGGTCTTGCAGAGTCGCTAAATTGTCCAGACTGTGCTCAAACTTGCCATCCTCCTGCCTCAGCCTCCCAGAGTGCTGGGATTAAGCCACCGGGCCAGGCTTCTATTTTGTTTACAGAGAGGGTATGGCTAAACTGCCCAGGCAGGAATGGAACTTCCAACCCTCAGCCTCAGCCTCCGCAGTGCTGAACGTTCAGGGTTCAGGTGTGCACCACTCCACAGGGCTTCCTGCCTTCACACACAAGCCAGTTCCTTTCCTGTTTTTGCTCAGAGAGGAAAGGGTCTGGCTGAAAGCTTTATCCTCTGCCCTCCACCCCATGACAAAGTGTGTGTGGGGTGTACTTCCCTGTGTTTCTGGGCTGGTCACTGACTCAGCCCAGGGCACCCCCTACCCCTGTCCAGCTCCCTGAACCGGTCGGGGCCCTTCTAAAGGGCTTATTACAGGGGAGAGGCCCCCACCTCCATTCCTATCTTCTTTGAGGACTCGGGATCTAGGCAGGGAGGCCGGCCCTCCAGGGCACTGGGACAGGGACGGTGCGCGGCATCCCTGGGTTCTCCGAGGGTGGAGCGGGTGGGGCCAGGAGGCCCCCGTGCTGCGGCCCCGGGCGGAGCGAGCTGGTCGCTCCCTGCTCCCTGAGAGCAGTCGGACCTGTTGTCCCCCCTCCACTTCCGGGCCGCTGGGGAGGGGGACGGGGCGGCCTCTCTCCTCCCTCCTCCCCAACCACTTTTCTGGCAGCAGAAGCGACAGCGCCCAGAGCGACAGCGGAGCGGGTGAGCGGGGGACTCGGGGCGGTGGGGGCGGAGGAGCTGGAGCCGCAGGTCTGGTTCCCGGGAGTGACGGACTCAGGCTCAGGCTTGTCCGGAGAACGGGTAGGGGGATTGGGAGCCCCGACTCCTGGATCCCTGGGTGAGGCGGCGTAGGTGGGGCCAAGACTATGGGACTCCGAGCAGCAAGGGGGTGAGTGTGGAGCGAGGAGATGGAGTGGCGCTCCCCTAGGGAGGCCGGGTGATCGAGAGGGCTGCTGGGCCGCAAGGAGGCTCTGGGTCGGAGAGCCTGGGAGGGGGACGAACGAGGACCCCAGCCTCAAATTCCGGGCCCGCCCGGGGCGCGGCGCCCTAAAAGCCCCAATCCATGCCCCGCCCCAGAAAGCTCCAGGCCACGCCCCCGGAACGCTCCGGGCCAGCCTTTGAACTCCGAGGC